ACTGTTTCCCCTAAGAAACTTTCCCTTGTTAAACAGAAGGAATGATTTGTCTCTAAGCATGATCCCATGCCTCACAATGCCTTCCATTAACATAAATAATATAAACTTAAATGCTTATATCTCCTCTCCAATCCTCTGTTGCCTTAAACTCTAGGTCCTCTTCTCTCTATAATCCTTAATTTAGAATCTTATGCAAATAGCCACTGTACATGTGTTTTAAAGACAATCTGAATTTTTGCTTTGTAAAATGTTAAAATACTAGGTAGCAGCTGGTGCTGTGGGACTAGCACAGAGAGCTTTGGATGAAGCTACCAAATATGCCCTGGAGAGGAGAACTTTTGGAAAACTGCTTGTAGAGGTAATTTTAATATTTACTTTGTTAAAATGAAAATACATTCATTTTCATCTAAATATTTGCAAATTATCTTTTAAGTACAACCTAATTTATTTTTTCTTTAGTAGTAAGATAATGTGATCTATCAGTATGAGTTATAAGAACAGATTTTTCTTTAGACTCTGCCACTAACTGTTGTCCATCCAGAGAATTATATTAATTAAAGAGAAAAAAGAACAGCTAATATTTATTGAGTGTCTGTTGTGTACCTGATACTGTGTTACACATTTTAAATATATTATCTAATTCTCCCAGTACTACCCTTGTTTTCCTAGTACTATAATCTCCATTTTAGATCGGGAAACTGAAGCTGAGAGAGATTAAATCATTTGTCCAAGGTCACATAATTTATAAATCACAGATCCAGAACTCCCATTTTATGCCTTAATCCATGCTACTTTCCATGTCTTCTTGAATATCAAATAATTTTAGTCATATTTTCCATGAGTTTCCAGGGAAATTTTTAACTCTAATCTCTTCAAATATTGAAGAGATTACTATCTATATTCTCTCCTTCTGTAACTCTGTATAGGTTGGTTATATAGTGAACACTTCCTGTTTTTATCCCCATGTGTCAGTGATTCTTGAACTATCTGTGTTGAAAAATCAGTTTGTTTTTAATTTCCAGTCAATTGTGTATCATTATTTTTCTAAAATGTCACAACAATATCAAGTTGTTGTAAAAGTTTCTAAATACTTAACTATCACTTACTATACCATGGACCAGTAAGTTTGTGGACTGACATTGGTCCACAGATCAAATTTGGATTACAACTACTCTATGTCCCTTAACCTCAATTTCATAATTTATTTTTCTATCTGTATTCTAGATAATTTTCTCAGACAGCTTTCCAGTTCTTTGATCCCGTGCCTAATCTACTTAATCCATCTGTTCTGATTTTTAATGACTATTTTTATTTATAGAATTTATATGCGGTTCTTTTTCAGTTCTACCACTTCTTTTCTGGTGTCCTGGTTTTTCAACATAGCTTCTTTATCCTTTTATCTCCTTAATTATATAAAAATACTTCTTTATAGTAACTTTCAGGTTTTTTTCTGTTATCTGAAGTTCTTAGAGTATTAATCTTTTGGTCTTTTGCATCTTCTATCTCTTTTATGGGCAGTTATTGCCTCCATTTTTGTTTCTAAGTTTATCTGCAGCAAGTATTATTTTTGTTCAATGCATTGTGAAAGCATTTTATATACTTGTTCTCTTTCATACTTTTATCAGGTACCCCAGAGATATCACCATTCTAAGAGCCTTTTGTTTTTTGTTTTTTTTTTAATTTCTCCATTTGGATAATCCTGACCCACAGAGGCTATATACATTGATTCTACACTTTAAGGGACTCATTTCTTTTTCTTTTTTGAACGTCCCAGAGTCTTAGGGAAGAGAGAAGCTTTGTGGCTCTCCTGCCCTGCAGAGAGACTTTTAAATTCCTCCTTTGGAAAGAGAAGCTTTTTTCCAAAGAGCTCTTTTTTTGTATGCAAGGAATCTCAGTTTTAGCCACTCATCTGGTTCATGCTTACATCCAAGTCTCTTGTTCTTATTCATTAAAACTCCAGTTCCTTTCCCACTGAACCTAAATCTCAGTCTGATTTTTTCCCTTTCCTATGTCATTTTTTCACAATCAGGATTTAAATTCCTCCTTGGAGGCACCAGGAAATTCGTTTCTTTCCTTTGAGTTTTTTTTTTTTTTTTTAAATCAAGTATTTCTTTGTGTTTATGGCCAAAAAGACAGTTTATATTAGCTCATTCATGTTGCCAGAACTACATATAGACAGTTCTGTAAAATGTTTATTACTAAGTTTAGCTTAATCATAAATGGATAACAACTATAAATATTATTCAATCCAGCTCTGTCATCAGTTTTAGGTCTTCCTCACCAAGTATCTGATGACCACTCTTAGTTCTTTTGGCTATTTTCAATTCAATATGGAATATTCTTTTATGTTCTCTTTCTTATGGGATCTGAGGATTCTTTTCTGTATCCTTACCATCTAAACTAGAATATTTTTGCTTCGTGATCCTTATTAGTAAGTATAGAAAAGTCTTACTTAGTCTTTGCTTTACTACTTACTCAAAGTAGTCTTTTATCATTTGATTTCTCCTGAAGATTTACTTCTCTCTTAATTACCCTGCAAAATGCAGATTGCCTATATTCTTAATTAATAGATATAGTGGTGTGATGTTATAATTTCCTGTCACCCCTTTATTGGGTGCCTGCCCTATCTATGTGTCCTTTGCAACTCCAATCTGCTAGAGTCTGAGTTCTCAGTATATAGCGTTAAGAATAAGAAAGTCACCTCATATTTGCAGTCCACACTTGAATAACTGATAAACCATTTCATGTCTGATATTAAGAAATATACAAGGATATATCACCACATATCTATATTTTCATATAGAAATTTAAAACAAAAAAATGTAAAATACGGTGATTTTATATTGAGTGTGTATGTGGTATGAATATGGGGGAGAGGGAGGTAAAATTGTAACTATATAGTATGCATTTTTTCATTTATTTGTGATAAAGCTTAGTTTAGTTCCATCTACATTGTTTTTTTGTCTGTATAAGTGGATATTCCAGACTCATCTATAACAGTCTATGTAATCTACTTTATTTTCTTCCATTTAAAATTAAAATATTAAGTGAACACATTAGGAGTTATTACTTTCTAAAAGAAAACTGTTGCAGTTTCTTTTTTCCCTTCACTTTCAGAATAACCAGCCTTTGCATAGTTCTTAGTTATTTCTCATTCTATTTTTACCATTTCTGTTTCTTATTCTTACTTTCTGAGTATATTGGCTGTATTTTATGTTAGAGGCATATGACACCACTACTTTTTTACTCAGTGATACACTAAGACTCATCATTTTATGATAAAGCATCCAGCCAAAACATTTTTTCTATACAGTCCAAATTGATGAAATTATCATGTATTATAATTATTTTTTCTTATTAATGTAATGAGCATGTTTGTAATTCCAGGATTCCTCACCATTAGTCTTTTCTTTCCTAGGCTAAAGTAAATACTAAGGGCCAATTTACATATAGCTTTGGTTTATTAATCTCCAAAAAGTAGGAATTAGAAAAGGTTTGGTTATTTTTTTTTTGGGGGGGGGGGGTTGTTTTAAGGAACTGTATAGAGTAACACTGTAATCACAGCTTCTATTCAGTACCATGTTTATTAATATCACTTCTCTTTAAGTGAATGCTTATTCTCATATTGCTTAATTTAATGTGGCTAAAGCAAGCTGCAGAAAACAAAGGATGGTACTTTTTCTTGCTAATGAGTAAAACTAGGAACACTGATAAATTACAAGGTGATAGAATCTCTTAATGGCAGTAATTGCCTTACTCCTTTGTCTAGTCAAATTGGAGTGTTCTGGACTGGTATGAAAGAATCTGTTAAGAATAACTCTCATTTGTATTGATTATTATTGCTAATTAGCAATAACTTTTCCCCATGAGTTCCATTTCTTGATAGGAAAATGGCCGAGAAGAAGAATGCTAGTTGAGACTTGAGATTGAAATAAGATAGAAGAAATACATTTATATCTCCTTCTTCTATAACTGTTTTATGTTCAAAATTCTTCCAATATCTTCTCATGACACTGAGATTAAAATCCAAAATCCATACAGTGGTCTTTTATTAGCCTTTTCCTATTGTCTTTACATTTACTCTTCTAAATCTATTTCCTAATTCATTTCACCAAAGAATCTACCCCTGATCACCCTATGTAAAAAATAACACCTCCAACACTGTATACACTAATTCCACTTGTTTTCCTTCATAGCTCTTCTCACTACCCAACATTATATCACGCATGTGTTTGTTTATTGTCTCTTCTTCCTCACTAGAATGTGTCTGTTTTGCAAAGAGTGTCTGTTTTGGAAACCTTTGTATTCCTAGCACTTAGGATGTGTTCTATGCTGTGAACATCTATTTCATTTATTCAACAAATAGTAATAGAATACTTATTATATTAAAATAATAATTAGATGCTTTCTCTGTTTTAGTTACTATTCTAAGTGCTTTATATGTATTAACTTATTTAATCCTTACAATACTGTGGAGTAGGTACTATTAGTCCAATTTTATTTCATGTAAAAACCATAGGCCCACTTAATAAATGATGGAACCAAGATCTGAACCCAACTAGTCAGTTATTTAAAGAGTCTGTCCTCTTTGCACACTGCATGTGCTATTTCTAGGGATAGAAAAGAGGTTTGACATAAAGGTTCCTGCCCTCTGGAGCCTTTAACTTTACTTTAGAGATAAGATACATATCATAAAATGAATACTAAGAAATAATATAGAGCAATATAAGATTAAATTCCAAAATGAGAGCTACAGATAGGGATACAGAAACCAAAAGGAGAGACTATTGTGGGCTAGACACATTACAGGGAATCTGAGCTGGGTTTAGAACAGAGTTTCTCATAGCTTAGGCTAAAGGGCAACTGAATATGACTCATCAGAAATGTTGCTTAAAACACATAAACTAGACACCACCGCAGATTTTTAAATCAAGAGAAACATGGGCATTTTATACCAAGTTGCCAAGGCTGTGGTGTGAAATAAGCATTAATATATATTGCCAATGGGAATGTAAATTGGTGAAATTTTTACGAACTACATTTTGGCAATATATATCAAGAGTATCTACCTTTGGTCTACAGCCATGCCACCTTGAACGTGCCTGATCTCATTTGATCTCAAAAGCTAAGCAGGGTCAGGCCTGGTTAGTACTTGGATGGGAGACCACCTAGGAATACCAGGTGCTGTAGGCATTAAAGAAAAAAAAAATAAGTACCTACCTTTGGATCTACAGCTACATTTCATATGGTACTTATCTTTCAGATATACTCCCATATGTGCAATATGACATAGGTATAGGTTATTCATTTCAGCACTGTGCAGAAATAACCAAATATAGAAACAACCAAAATGTTGATCATCCATACAGTGAAATGCTTTGCAGCTATGCAAAGTATAAAGAAGTTCTTTGTGTATTGATATAGACAGCATCAGATTTATTGATACGAAAAGCAAAATAACCATCAACACGGGGTGAGCGGGGAGGGTAGGAATAATAGAAGTAGGAGGAAAACTTGAACTTTGAACTGATGGATGCATTACCTATTCAAAAAATAGAGTGCAAATAAAACCAAAAAATTAAAAACACACATAAACATGAAAGAATCACTGGCTTAGAAAACTGGGCACAGTTCCGGCGGGTAGAAATAAGGGAAGGTATTACTCTCCTTCCATATAGGAATTATTCACATTGGTTAATAATGCCGCCTCTAAGATTTAATTTGCCATGCCAATCTCAAACAACCTGTCACATTCTAAAATAGTGTGATGAGGTTTATGCTGTAAATGTGGTAAATATATTGAAATTAAACAGCTCACTTTTATTTTTTTGTGTGATTTTTGGTTTATATTAGTCCATACACAGTCATAGATTGTGTGGTTTTTATAACCTTTTCATCTTCAAAACTCACTTTGATGTTGCCTACTACACAAAGCACCTTTCTAATAATCTTGGTATTCTTATTTCTGAATGCCTAGAGGACTTCTTTTAATGTATATTATTTTAAAATATATGTTCATTCCATGCTCATTGTAGAATAACTTATTTTATATGATGCAATATACATAAGTAATAAAACTCATCTATAATCCCATTGTCCAGAGTTAATTACAGTGGACATTTTGCTCTATATTCCCTCTTTCCGTGACTATATTTTTCCAAATCTGTAACTATAACATATATTTGAACTTTTCACTTATTGATATATATGGTGAACATATTTCCATTCTATAACATACCTTAGTCATACAATTCCTAGAATATTTACTCTTATAGAAAGTATTTTCTTATATCTCCTATGGACCTCTAAAACGTAAGACGCATCTTTTATTTGTCTTCATCGTGGCACTTGCTTTCGCTTGTCAGAGTCTAATACCTCAGTATTATTCACTATCTGTAGCAATTTTCTTTAACCCATTTCCCTTTTGCCCCAAGAATATTCCCCAGCAGCGCTTGTGGCTGTTGCATTTACATCATTATAACTCGTGCATTACAGACAGTCCTAACCTTACTCCCAAAGTTTGCCAAGAAATGTCTCGCTTTTATTATTATTTTCGCTTCGCTCTAGTATAGCGATAGTTTTTGGAAACAAATGACATCATTCTATGTATAGCATTCTGTTTTTAGTAGTGGTATTTCCATTTACAAAATATAGTAATTCTCAATTGCCGAAGATGTCAACGTAGCATTCCTATGTGTGATGTTAAATTAACGCTGGCAGCGAGCTGCACTTTTTCCTAAACAGGAAATGGGTTAATGAGTCTCAGCAGTCACTCAGAAGGATACATAAAATTTTTGAGGCATTTTTGCCAAAAATGCATAACTTCATTCCAGTCTTAAGAAAGCATCAGGCAAACCCAAACTGGGAGACATTTTACAAAAATAATCAATTGGTATTCTTAAAAAGTGCCAAGATCATGAAAGACAAGGAAAGACTAAGGAATCCTAACAGACTGTGAAAGACTTAGAAGAAATAATAACTAATTTCAACTGGAATTCTAGATAAGGTCCTCGAACAGAAAAAGGACATTAGTGGGAAAACCTGGCCAAATTTGAATAAAGTTTTATAGTTAAGTTGATACTATTATACCAATGTTAATCCTGTCCCTAATCAGTATACTATGGTTTTGTAACAGGTTAACATTGGAGGAAGCACAGAGTATAACTTCTTAAATCTAAGATTAGTTTTAAAAGTTTTTTTAAAAAGTTCTAGGAGAAAAACTTTTATTTATTTTTTTAATTCTAATTTTTTTATTATAGTGACATAGGTTAATAAAATGCAGTAAGTTTCAGGTGTACAATTTAGCAATAAGGCATATATATTGCATTGTGTGTTCACCACCCATAGTTAGATTTCTGTCACCAAAGAAAAACTTTTAAATTAGTTTTTCTTTTTCTTCTTAATTCTAGCACCAAGGAGTATCATTTTTGCTGGCTGAAATGGCAATGAAAGTTGAATTAGCTAGATTAAGTTACCAGAGAGCAGCTTGGGAAGCTGATTCTGGTCACCAAACTACCTATTTTGCCTCTATTGCAAAGGCATTTGCTGGAGATGTTGCAAATCAGTTAGCTAGTGATGCTGTGCAGATCTTTGGAGGCAATGGATTTAATACAGAATATCCTGTAGAAAAACTAATGAGGGATGCCAAGATCTATCAGGTAAGGTTACAAATTATTTTTATTGTTTTTTAGGAACTGGAATATTTGTAAATGACAGATTTCTGACTATTTAGGGATTTTATGTCACTAGTAATAATAAATGACATCAAAGATGGTTGTAAGTTGAAGTTTTTTAGAAGTAATTAACACAAACAAGAATGTTACCTTTAAGTATATATGCCTTAAGAGAGGATATGCTAACAGACATGTACATGGGTCTGGATCAGTCGTCTTTTGAGTCTTGACATCCTAGCTAACTGTAACCAACCCTTTACTCTCCTAAAAGTATATCATTTGAAATTAAATTATTTCATTTTGCATATTGTGTGACAACTTTTGAATTGACTAAAACCATATTTGAGAGTAAAACACCAACATGAGACAGATATAGATAATTCTGTCTTCTAAATTAAATTGGTGGTTAGAAAAACTTAGGAATAATTTAGTAAATTAGATATAAATGCACATGTTCTACACATGTAGCTTTAGTAATTATAACCCATTCTCAGTATCTCCTTCCTTGCTTCCTTTTACCCCCAGGAAATTATTTGACAAATACTACAGTCATTTCAAATCTAGAGGTAGAATCACAGAATGCTAGTGAGAAAGAAATTCAGACATAGTGCAGGCTTCTCAATTTAGATATGAAAAAAACTGAGGACCAGAATTTGTGCCTTATCCAAAGTTACAGGCTTATCTAGTGATACTCTCCCTCTCTTAGAACCTGTAATTATTATAATTATTACTATTATCAACCATTTAACTTTTCTCTGCCATCTGAGATGAACTAACAAGTCACTAGGATTAGAAAGTTCAAACTGGAAGTGAGGGCTAGCCAGTAGGAATATCTAACAGAATAAAATCAAACCTTTCCAGCATTATTTTAGTTAACAACTCTGTTCCCAAGGCAGAAAAAAATCAGTTTTAAGAGTAATAATAGAAAATGACAAAGTGACCACTGGTGAAAAACAGTTCAGAATAGTTGGAGAAATATTTTAGCAACATCACACTTTAGATTTCCAAAATTTCTGAAATGTTAATATTCTTTGATTTTTTTTAAGACTCCTCCAAAATTTTGGTAAATGATTTTTTATAATTTTAAGTGATCTTTTTAGATTTACATTTTTATAGGTTTCACAAAATCAGGTTTCACAATCACTGTATACTACAGAATCTACATATGGTTCTATTCAGTTGGATATTACAATAGAGCTTATACTGCTTTCCAAAATATTGAGTAAATCAAAGTATTTGTGTACTGAAGATATTTAACCTACATATTTATTTATTTTTCTTGCAGATTTATGAAGGTACAACACAAATTCAAAGGCTTATTATAGCCCGTGAACTCATTGGCAGGTATAAAAATTAACAAGATTGCTGTAGAAACATGATTGTTGAGTAAATAGAACACAATCCACTAAGCTACAGGAAAGAGAAAGGGCTTATAGATTTTTTCCAGTGAAAATCTTAAAATAAGTTCTCTTACACTAAACATAGGGAACTGATTCTAATAGTAGTTTTCTACCTTTGTTTAACTTTATGACTTGTCTTTTCTCAAATAAATTTGGTCATTAAAATCGTGTTGTCCTCAGTACCACTGTACTCGAATTATATTAACCTGGAAAAATACATTTGTTTTGTTATTTTGACTTCTTAAAGTAAAAGAAATTTCTTAGAATTTCAATATTTTTCCAGTGACAGAAAAGTGGTTTTATAAAAGTATTCAGGATGTTCTAAAATCTACATTGAGAAAATACTTTACAATTTGGATGCCATCAAACAGCTTGCCAGTGACTTTGTAGACTTAATGATAGTATATTAGAGGAGTTTATTTTCTTACAATTTGGTAAGCATTTGTTTTCAGTTTTGTACAGTAATAGTAAAAAATATGATGTTCATCTTCTCCCCTTATACAACAGCCAGAATTACCTTAAGATCTTGTTTAATTCTGAGCCCATATTTCACTTGCCTTATTTAAAATCAATCAATAAAATTTTCCATAAGTTATTTTTATATGGCTCCATTGGTCTCTGGGTAGCTTTTGGTCTTCTGTACACAATGTCATTTCATGTGCATACATTCTGAAAAAAAACTTAAAGTCATTCAGTACTTACCACTGTATCTGTATTCTTTCCAGGAAGTTTTATTGCTTCATATCAAAGTATATACTTAATTTATTTACTATGATGGAAAAAAAGTCACATTTTTATTTTGAACTGTGTAGTTACTGTATATTTTGTTAGATTATAATGAGATACCTTAGAAAATATAAGATAATGTAAGAAGCAAAATTTGTGAATTTAATTTCTTTGTAATTCTAAACATCAAACTGCTAAAATATGTTAATACTAAATAGTGTTTCTGACATCACTTCTGATTTTTCAATTCTGACATCAACTGGGCATCCTATAGTTCAGTCCTTTTCTGACACTAACGCAGAACAGTTAGCATCAGATTCCAGAGGTTTAACGGGCTCAGTCCCACAAGACTACCCTCAGTTCAGACACCAGTCACAGGTCCTGGGTCCTCAGGCTACCAACATATTTGTCCAATTTTACTGCAAATTCAGGTATTCCCAAGACCCCACTGTCAGGTTTGATCATCTGAATGGCTCACAGAACTTGTGAAAAATACTAATATTTACTGGTTTATTATAAAGAATATAACTAAGAAACAGCCAAATGGAAGAGATGCATAGGGAAAGGTATGAGGGGTAGATACACAGCTTTCATACCTTCTCCCAATGCACCGTCCTCACAGCAAGTCATTGTATTCACCAACCTGGAAGCCCCTGAATCTCATGATTCAAGAGTTTTTCTAGGGAATCTTCAGCCCCAGAGGTAAAGGGGGTGGGGCTAAAAGTTCTACCTGGGTTAGTCAGCTAGGGCTGCCAGACTGTGTGGCTTAAACTACAGAAATTTATTTTCTCACAGTTTTAGAGGCTAGAATTCCAAGATCAAGGTGCCATCTGGATTGGTTTCTGGAGAGGCCTTTCCTCCTGGCTTGTAGACTACCACCTTCTCACCATGTTTGCACATGGCCTCTTGTCTGTGCACATGCACGGAAAGAGAGAGCTCTGGTGTCTGTTTTCTCATAAGGATATCAGTCCTGTTAGATTAGGGTCCTACTTTTATGACCTCTCTTTTCACCTTAATTACTTCTCTCAGGGCCTTATATCTCCAAATATAGTCACACAGGGAAAGGTTAGGGCTTCAACATACAAATTTGGGGTGGGACACAATGCAGTCATAACATTACCCTCTAATTACTTAGTCTTTCTAGTGACTAGGTCCTTCTGAGGAACCCCACCCTAAGTCACCTCATTAGCATAAACCCAAGTGTGATTTTTTTTTGAAAGGAGCTCATTATGAATAACTCCTATCATGAAATTCCAAAGGTTTTAGGAACTCAGAGCCAGGGATTTGGGGACAAAGACCAAATACATATTCTATACCACACTATGAAAATAAAAATAATGTTTTACAAAAATATTTAAATGACTTCATGTTCAATTATGAGACTGTATATTAATGACACAGCCAGAGATTGGTAAGAAGATTTAGAGATTACCTAATTAAACTGAGTATTAAATAGAAATTACAAATTAAATAGAAAATATTTGTTCCAAATGCAGATTTGAAGTTATATAATAAGTGCAAAAATTTACCTACCAATTCTAAATAAACAGCTTCTAGAAAAATATGTATTCCAGAGCCATATGAGCATATTTATTAAAGTACCTTGATAATAACTATTGAACAGTTATATAAATGCACCAATTAAGACTTTAGTCACAAGTAACACAAATGAACTTAAGCTACTTTAAAAATGTGAACACCCCTCCACCCCCATGCAGTCAAAAGTCACATATAATTTTGACTCCCCCAAAACTTTACAAACAGCCTACTGTTGATTGGAAGGAAGCCTTACTGAGAACATACACAGTTGATTAACACCTATTTTGTAAATCATATGGATTATATACTGTATTCTTAAAGTAAGCTATGGAAAAGAAAATGTTATTAAAATCATAAGGAAGAAAATGTGCATTTGTAGTACTGTATTATTGAAAAAAATCCACGTGTAAGTGGATCTGTGCTGTTCAAACCCGGGTCGTTCACATGTCATCTGTATATTGAAGTGCTTCATGGATTTGAAGGGCAGGCATGGAGTTAGTTTTAGGAAGGGACTGGAACCCAAATAGTCTTTAGCAATCCATGAAATAGTATTTTCTGCCTCTCAACTCTACTTCTCCCTGTCATGTTTCATTCTCTTGTTCTGCAGTCTAGCTTTCTCTGCTGCTTTGATTCTATGATAGAATAAGAGCTAATATTTATATATTAGATTTTCCACCACTTATATAAGCTGGCTGTGTAAGGCTATTACAGCCCAGAAGGTAGGTAGTCATAGACTACGAACATGATTTAGTTGCATGCATCTGTGAATTGATGGTTCCTAGAAAAGACATTGTTTTATAAAAGATTTGATGTTTATGGCAATTCTAATGAATGTTTAGAGTCTATCAGAGTCATCAATTTGCATGAAGGGAGAAGAGGTTATTCCAAGACTATCCCGATTTTTTTTAAATGGCTGTTTATATGGCTTCCAGAATGACATCTATTAATTTGAATACATTACTTATGATCAATTAAGACAAAAGGTCTTTGGAGATAAAAGACTGAATTCTGCAGAGAACAGTGTTGTTTTTGTTGTTTTAAACATGTTAAACATTGCATTTAACTCACTGAATAAGGGAACTATTAAGATATTAAAGCTGATATAATGGAGAATTTAAGAACAGATATATAGTCAGAAATGCTGAAAAGAATTTGCTAATGGATATAATACTAGTTAATAACCTAAAGGGCAATAAAATCTAAAGGGGTCATTATTTTCTACAGAGCAGAAATCAGTTGTAGTTTACGGTTCATTTTTATTACTCTCTATTTTTTACAATTTAACTTCTAACTTTGTAAAACAGCCTAGCTAATAGAAAGATAATAACAGGTACATACCACTTTAGAAAATACCTGAGGATCCATTAGGTAATACCTAGCATTCCTCTATAGGGATACACGGTACCTTCTTTTATCTATTTCCAAGTCTTTGACAATGTTTCTTGGCAGTCTCTTCCTTGTGATCATAAATAATCTGCCAGGGTTATTCTTAAGTACAAAAAGGCAGGCTGTTTCAGGTTTAGTGTAGTTAGTAATTAACCATGTGGGCTTTGAATTTACTTTGCAAGTACATGAACAGGATTAACTTCTGTCTGAAAGTTTTCATAAAGACACTCAAATTGGATTTTTAAAAGCCTCCATAATTTGCTATCTAAAGGCTAGGGAATGAAGCCCAAGAAATTCTCTGCCAGAATTCTCCAGCAGGATGAAGAATTTGGGTAAATTTTTCTCCTCAGCTTTTCCAAAATTTACTAAGGTTTCTGGATGTCCAAGAAGAGCCCTGAAAAACTAGAACCCTATAAACCAGGTACCATTCCTGGGCCCCCAAGAAGGCTCTGCACAACTGGAAACCTATAAACCAGGACAGCTTTGTAGGCTTTGATGACATATAAAGTCAAATTGTTTATTAATAGTGGGCTTGTCATACTTGATTAAATGAAAATTATTCTCAAATATGACATGCCAGGTATGGCCTTAGTTATACAATCAATTCATTCAATTACATCGTGGTAAACGAGTACAGATTTCTTTTGAATGTTGCCATGAACTATAAGGAGATCGAGTAAATGTTTCTGAATTTTGGAGACTCGGTAAGAATCAGATGCCATTTTAAAATTCCGGTTTACAAAAATAGACTCCACTAAATTGAAGGCTAGAGATAGCCTAAGAATTAAAAAGTGTTTCCTCGTATATCCATTAAAATAGAACATTACAACTGTGTAAACAATATTCCAAACGACTGTAGTTAAATTTTCCTCATCAGTTCATACAGTTCTTTTTAACTGTTATGCTGGATCTTGGGTCAGTGAACCGCTTTCAAGAAGCTATTCTGCTTCCAGATCAAAGAGTCTTAGAAATCATGATTCAGTCCACTGGTATAGTGTGAAATTTGTCTAAGCTATGTCAGCCTGGAAGTCTCTACCTAAGAGACCTGATTGAAGTATCAGTAGTTTAAAACATCTGATTCTTTCTGAGTCTCTGAGACTCTCTTCCTGAATGCACTAATTTTGGCCTGTAGCTTACAGCAGAGCCTTTTAGCTAGGACCAGAGTAAAAGAGACCGTCTGTAGATAAATGCCTTAGTTCAGGCTGCTGTAACAACACCACAGATTGGCTTGAACAACAAACATTTCTCACAGTTGTGGAGGCTAGGAAGTGCAAGATCAATGTACTTGCCTTCTTCTGTGTGGCAGACTGCTAACTTCCCTTTGTATCCTCATATGGCAGAAATAAGGTAAGAGCTCTCTGGGGTCACTTTAATAAGGGCACTAATCTCATTAACGAGGACTTCACCCTCATGACTTCATTATCTCTCAAAGGCCCCTCTTCCTAATACCACTACACTGGGGTATTAGGATATCAACATACAGATTTCGGGGGGACATAAACATTCAATCTATTGCAATGATCAACACTAAAGGTTGTAGTTAATCACTATATCCAATAATATCAGAATGGAATTGAGTAAAAATCTCTTTGCAGCATGGTGTATAATGACTTCACAAGAATTTAACCATTATTTGCCATAAGGGAAATAAGAACATTGACAAATCTCCAGGGTCTTCTAACAAAGTACATAATTTTAGACATATTTATATTAATAACATTTTACCTATACAAATTTAAAGAAGGCTGAGTTGATCTGATTTATTTACCAACTTTTCCTATGAAGCTCCCACAATAGTGTTGATAATTAAAAAATATGGAGGACCACATGAAATAAACTTCATTATTTCTATTATCTTTCTTTTTATAAAGTGAAAGAATAGTTTTTCTGATTTTTCAGGGGCCCCCAGGAGATTTCAAAATACATTTATTTAAATGTAGAATATATCCTGAAATTTTATTTTTCTAAATTCAAGATTTGACCTTGGGATGGCAAAATCAAAAGATATATCAAAGATCTGATATCTTGATTAAGTAGGATTATAGGTACCTAAGAAAGTAATTTGGTTACTTATTTTATTAAAGAGACAAACACAGAAGAATGTAACATGATTATAAGAAATTTTAGACGTTTCTCAAATGAGGAAACTGTCCCTTTTTAAAAAAAATGATACCAAAGTGTCAACATTGAGAGCTCAGAAAATTTATTCTGGTAAACCAAAATTTCTGTTACCTAGGCAGAAGGTAAAGATTAACCTTTTACATTGTTGGTGGAAGGGGTTAATCTGTAAACCAAAGAAGTAAGCCCCTTGAAACAGGAAGCATTGCCAAAATTGTAGCACATTCCAGTGTCTCTTCAGATTCAGGTATCAGACACCCAGGCAAACAAAATTCACTCTCTTAAAGTTTTGGATTTCACTATACTTTTTCATTTTCTAGAAGAAAATGATATTTGAAAACAAAACTCTTAAAAAATAAAAACCCGTACATACCTGTATTTCTGTCACTATTGCTCCTATTAATAGTTATACTTAAAACACATCTCAATCCAGATTGGCCATATTTCAAGTGCCCCATGTGGCTATTGGTCAGCACAGGTCTAGAGGCAGAGATGAACCTGTTTTTAAATCAATATTGTTTTCTTTTGTAGCTACTTTTCTTTAGAGGAGGAGATTTTTATTTTTTGAAGGGGCAAAATATATCAGATTTCAAAAGTACCAGAGTATTTTGTGAAAAGTAAGCCTTTCTTAAATCCTGTCCTGAGCCACCCATTTCTTTTCCTGCAGGCAACTACTTATAGTAAATCTGTGCATTCTCAAGCATATCCATATATTTTTTTCCTTTGTTTCCCAAATAGTAGCATACTATACATAGTTTGTTTTTACTTAATATATTTTGGAGGTCTTTGCATAGCAATGTATGCAGAGCTTTCTCATTCTTTTTAATGGCCACATAAATAATATACCACAGTTTATTTAACCCTTTGCTGGCTAATTAAAGTATTTGTAATCTTTTGCTATTACAAAGACTGCAGCTATGAACATTCTTGCACATAAGTCATTTCATACCCAAAGGAGTATATTCGTAGAAGAAATATCTAGAAATAGATTTGCTGAATTTAATTACAAGAATTGCTAGAACATGTGCTCCCTATACATATTTCCATTTTGCTCACCACTGTAACCCCAGAACCTAGATTAATATTCAGCACATTCTAGGCATTTATTCAATACATATTTGTTGAATACCTTTATAAAGTAGGAAGTGAGGCTTATTTTTCATTCCTTCAGCAGTTATAGACTCAATGTTACTTTTTGGATCTGATGCTTGTATTATTCTTATTTTGAGCACTGCCCCACCTGTCTATTGGTTTCCCTCACTGTACCACACACTCCTCCCCCATCTGATTTAGAGGCAAAAGAAAGCTGGGGAAATTACGGTAATATTTAACAAGGCAGACTTTTTCAGATAAAAAGTATGAGGGTTAGAGGTGGTCATTACTGAATGATAAAAGGCTCAGCTCACCAGAAATGGATAACTCCAAACTTACATGTATTTAACAATGAAGCCTCAAACTAGAAATGGGAATATCAACAAAATTACAGGAAAAGATAATGAAATCTATCATCATTCTCAATTATTGATAATCCACGTGTCACTGTCAAGAACGCTTCTCCAAATGGTTATTGAATACATTGTAAGGGAATAGGTTCCTAATTTTTTCTAATAGACTCCCCCAAATGCTTAAGTATTAAAGACGTAAGAAAGCACAAATGCAAATAGCTGTAATAATACACCTAGCAAATATGAATCCTGTAGAAAGGTCGTAAAAGGCACATGGTATTTTTTGTTCGAAAGTTAATTTCCAAATACTTCAGCTATGAGCACTTCCTGAAGTGGGGAGCCAGACCCAGAAAGGACAATGCAACTGGAGAATGCGAACATTTCATTAACATTCGCTTTAAAAAGAATTTATTGAACACTTACTACGTGCAAGAACTTTACTAATTACCAGCCATTTCAGATCTTCTGAGTTCAAAGAGCCTCAAGAACAAAGTATTTCTTAAAATTAATTGAGATATTTAAATATTACTTAAAACTGTTTCATACAAATTAATGTGCTTAAGAGACGAGAAAATGGTCGCCAGAGACTTTGGGTACAGGCAGCGACGACAGCTATAAGCCGTCGGTGGGGTCCTAGGGCAGCCATGGAGCAGGCAGGAATTTGGTCAACTATGTCGGGCCGCAAAGGGGACCTGAGAGGCGCTTCTGCGCAGGCGCGTGCCGCCTAACTATACCCAGGAACGGGCGCAGTTTCCTTTTCGTCTTTAGACATGGTGAGTGTCGCTGTGTTTCTCGCTGCAGTCCAGCTGGGTCGAGAGGTGGCCGGGTATGGTAACATTGAGCAGCTCAGTGACTATATAGATAGGATTGTTGACTAAATATTGGAGAATGGTTGGGTTAAAACACAAGCCTTGTAAAATTTCTGACGGGCTCAGTGGACGAAGTATTACTCAGCGTTTTCTGCAGACCTCGAGGGCGCGATTGCCGCTTGTAATTTTGTCCAGGATTCCTTTTGTCGGGCAGGCCTCAGGATTCAAAGGCCTGATTTTTTAATCCATCAAAACCAGGCGGGTCAGCGGTACTTATTTTCATCCACATATACATGTATATTATCTATGGCTCAAGACGTAGTAAATTTTAAATGGGACCTAAATGAAATTTATTAATATTTTGGTAACCTTGACCTACTTATAATAAATACAATGTGATCTCAGGAAGATAAAAAATGGGGAGAACTAAAGTAGCGTCCTTATAACCGGGAGGCTTGTTTGAAATTAACGAATCTAAGAATAAAACTCGTGGAGAAGGAGCTAAAGGGACTTATTGAGAAATGGAATAATTTTGGGGGTGCGTAGAAAGTGCTTTGAAACTTGAATTTCTGGGATTAATAAGATTTTATTAACGAACAACTGCAAATTATGGGCAGGCTAGATTTTTATTTTAATGCTTCAGCTTGCTTTCTGCTACATGCAAATCTTTTAAGCTGTCCTGATAAGCTTTTAATATTCTGTGGTGGTTATTTTACTCAACTCTTTAAGGGAAAGATAAGCAACAACAGATGAAGGCAATTTTTTGGGTCTATGATGAGCTGGCATGTATTCTGAATCTAAAATTGATTACGACTACTTTAGCTCTAGAATTACTCTGAGACCTGAAAAATACCTGAATGTTTATGAGGGTTTTAGTACTTAACTTTTTTTGGTCAGATAACTTGGCACTTTTCATCTTGCCAAAAACTTTTAGTTTAAAATTAGAGGGAAAGGTTAAGCTTTATAACGAATATGCTCTGGGATCAAACATCAAAAAATAAACATGTGAAATCATTACTTTTACTTTGAAAGGGCACACCACAGAAGGATGTTATCATCAAGTCAGATGCACCCGACACCCTATTATTGGAGAAGCATGCAGATTATATCGCATCCTATGGCTCAAAGAAAGATGATTATGTATGTATGGTTTTATGTTAAAAGCTTATTTTAAAGAAGTCAGACCATTCGGCATCATCGGTAGGTCAGTATTTATGGCCCGTGTTTTTTAATAATATCCAACTCAGTGCATGCCAAGGACTGATGATAGGTCCTTGAAATGCTGTGAAGTACACCTTTGGATATGTGAGGTTGCAGGAACATAAATATTTTAACACCGGTTCTTCCCAGTACTCTTTTAGAGGTCTTGGCAGACAGATTCCTTTCTTGTCTAGATTTGTAAGAGGTTTAAGGTGCAGAATAAGTTTCTCCTTTTGGAGTTGAGGTAAACTTTCAAGGTCAATGATGTGTTGGCATGTATTACCTGAATTTATGGCTGATGTGTAATAACACGAGCTCTAGAATTACGCTGAGACCTTGAAAAACTTACTTGGTTTCCTTTCTGGGACAATCTTAGAAAATTAGTGAATGAGTCAACTGAAAAGTATTTTTCCCTGGAGTATCCAAACAACTGGATTATATATACCATCTTGGAAAACATCGTTGATAAGTTCTTAAGTGTTTGGTTCCCATAACTTTGTAGTTACGGAGTTGTTAGGGCAATGTTTATTTTTTATCTACTGCTCACTTGATTTCTTTAAAACTGAGTTTTGGGTTCACAGCAAACCACTAAGACCACTCACTGATTCAAAACCTTAAAATATAAAGCATTGGTGACCATAGCAAAAATTTGTTTCTGGAATCTTCGTGCCAGTTTTTTTTTGATTTGTTTTAATGGCTCCATTATTAGCCACTCTTACCCATTTTATCTTTTGTATGTATTGGCCATTTTGGTTTGCAAGTAGTTAAATCATTTACTGATAAAAAGGTTTCATAAAGAGTATATGTTAAAAGAATGTCTAATAAGTACATTTCTTAAATGTTTTCCTCGAACTTGTGAAAGGTCTTTTTCTGACTTACGTTTGGCTTTTGGAAGAGATTAAAGCTGTATTTGTATTGTCAGTAAATTGAGTTTATCATGCTTTTCAAGATAGTAGTCCCCTCATGCCCCAAATTTGAAAGCCACAAGTTTAAACTTATTGATGATGGATTAAGTGAAGTAAAAAGTAACTGGCTAGCTTTCTGTGTTCAATCTCTACCCCCGCATCAATTCAAACGGCACATTAATTGTGTATTTTAGGAATACTGTATGTCTGAGTATTTGAGAATGAGTGGCATCTATTGGGGTCTGACTGTAATGGATCTTATGGGACAACTGCATCGCATGAATAGAGAAGAAATTCTCACATTTATTAAGTCATGTCAACATGAGTGTGGTGGAATAAGTGCTAGTATTGGACATGATCCTCATCTTCTGTACACTCTGAGTGCTGTCCAGGTAAATACTAATTAAAATTCAAGTCTTGGTAGTATATACTCTTACCTGAGTGGGGAAATTGAAATGAGGTTGAGGAAGGTAACCATAAGTATGTCAAAAAGTTACTCTCATCTTTGCAAATGAAGTCTATCCTACAAGGTCAGTGATGTGATGGCATGTATTAGCTGAATCCAAAGTAGATGTAATTCTAAAATTACACTGAGACCTTGGATGGTACAATGTTTAGTGTATGAATATTTGAAAATCACTAGGTGGAGTTAAATGTTTTAATTTCGATATTAGTGAAAATTCACAAATACAGGTTTTAAAGTCTAAATTAGATTAAGTCTTGAAATGTTGTTACAATTTGTACATAGAACACATGCATTTAAAAGTTTTGGATTTGTTGGTAATACTTAAAATTTTATTGCATATAAGAAAGCATGTTTGAAAAAAGTTTATGCATAGACAAGGATACTTGATTGACAACTTAAAAGGTAGTTGAACATTAGAACAGTTACTGAAGATTATTTGACATGGTTTGTTTTTATTACAGATTCTTACTCTGTATGATAGTATTAATGTTATCGACGTAAATAAAGTTGTAGAATATGTTCAGAGTCTACAGAAAGAAGATGGTTCTTTTGCTGGAGATATTTGGGGTAATGTCAGTTTCATCCATGTTACCAAAAATATCAATATTGAAATGTTTGGGTGTTTATTACAGTAATAAGCTTTGTTGCAAAAACTTTAAGTACAGTGAATTGGCTTTGCTAATAATTTATAAAGGAGATTTTCAAGTTTTTAATCTTTTCAGGTCCCACTAAGCAGCTGGTCTAACAGGAATTAATGGTTTGCTGGGAGTTCCAGCATGCACTGTGCTAGTTATGTCAGCATACAGGAGCACTGGAACAGAGGGGGCCAGTCTAAAAAAGATAAGGTAGGTGAACTTTTTCCCCAATATTTGGTGGCTTTGTAAAGTTTTTTGAAAACTACTTATTGGCAAGGGGAAAATGTTCAAGAAACTTTACAACTTTACTGAATATTTGAGTGGAGGGAGGGAATAGTATTTTACTTGATAAATGTAGATAATCTCTACTGTAGGGCTGAATACAGTGCATGCCGGAGAGACCAGCTGCTTCATGGGATGTGAAAATCTACTTTTATATAATAGGGTAAGTTGTAATTAGAAATTTCCTAGTCCTTTCAGCTTTGTTATCTTCCTTTTATGGGCTCTGTATGAGCAACTTATAATTTGCTATATTTTCAACAAAGCAGTTTTCTAGTTCTTAGTTTCCTTAGAAGTAAAGTGATTTCACTTCAGGTTTATTTAGCTTTCCTTCTGGTGACCTAAAAGTAAATTTTAAGCTTGAACTGTTGGATATTTAACCAGGTAGTTCAGTTTTTAAGTTAAATTAGACTATATATTATAATCAGAAACCTCTAGAACATTTATGTTTCATTTTGATCCCTTTTGTTTTTAGGAGAAATTGATACAAGATTCTCTTTTTGTGCGGTGGCAACTTTGGCTCTATTGGTAAGTTTTGACTATTGTATTAGAATGAAATATCATCCATGATTCCTCTGGAATTTAATAGGCATTTTTTTTTTCTGTTTATAGGGAAAGCTGGATGCTATTAATGTGGAAAAGGCAATTGAATTTGTTTTATCATGTATGAACTTTGATGGTGGATTTGGTTGTAGGCCAGGTTCTGAATCTCATGCTGGGCAGGTAATTTATTAATACAGATTAAAATATATTAATAGCAATTTTAGTGTCTTGAATATGAATGAAGTTATTGACTAAATGTAATATATGAGGTGTTACGTAAAGGTTGTTTAATTGCTGATTAAGGAAAGCATTTTTACAGTGGTTTGCTTTATAGATAATTCCCTTGCTGGTGAAACCCTCTGACACAGGCAAATGAACTAAGCAATTGGAAATATTCTGTTTTGATCTGTCCTGAACACACCTGTTTGTTTGTGCCAGAGAACATTGTATATGTCGGTGATTGTCAAAATATGCTTTTAGCCATGAAGAAATTTTGACAATGGTATTTCATTGCAGAATCGGATCTTAGTAATAGCATGCTTGGATTTGTTTAAATTATGTTTGTAATTCGAACTATTTGATTGTCAGGAAATTTTAGAAATAAAGTGGAGTTTGAATAATTTAAGAAGTTTTTATCACTGTATTACTATTAAAAAATTATACACATGTACTTTATGTCTGTAATTTTAGATCTATTGTTGCACAGGATTCCTGGCTATTACTAATCAGTTGCATCAAGTAAATTCTGATCTACTTGGTTGGTGGCTTTGTGAACGACAGTTACCTTCAGGTGGACTCAATGGAAGGCCAGAGAAGGTATTGTTTCTTAAGATAAACTGTTCTATTAGCTTTATAACCTTGAGTGAGTACCACTTTATCTTTTTTCAATATTGGTTTTCTAAATTAGTGATGAGCTTTTTATCTTCCTTGTATTTTTTAGCTGTGCCTCTGAAACAAAAAATGCCCTTTGAAAAACAGCTAGGGTTGAAGTGCTTAATTAACCCTGGTGTCTATTTAAAAGATACTTAAAGAAAAGATGTGCATGATGCCTTCTGTTGCCCTTTTTACAAATCTTTTTTTGGTCTCCCTTACCCTGAAATAGATTCTCGAGTTATCTAAAGGAAAATGCCAAAGGGGCAAATAAACTTAGCTTTAAAATGTATTTGTATGCACACATCGTGTGAATTCTTAAGGGTCCAGGGTCTCCTCCTCTCCCTACTCCACCCCCCCTTCTGAAGGCCTTGTAGTCAGGCATTGAAATGAAGTTCTTCAAACCTTTTAGTTCTGGACCTGCCTGTACCAAGGGGAATCAGCCATACATTAAAAGGTTTATGTTTGGGAGCCAGACTACTGTTAACACATAAATCTTGTATAAAAATCTCCATGTTGACTTACTTGTATGAAAGAAAAATGGAGTTGTCAAAGATTTTTTTAAAAGTTAGAAAATTTTCATTAAAATCATTAATTTAAAAAAAAACTAATTTTTGACTTGGATTTGAAAGAAAATAATTAAATTTTCTTTGACAAGTCCAGTTTTCATTAATCTCTCACACATTATGTTCTAAATTGGGTCTGTAAGGACCAGACAGTATTTTCAGCTTTGTAGGACATAGGGTTTTGTTGCCCTAAGGGGCAAATGTTGCTATAGACAATAAGAAATGAGTGGGCATGGCTGTGTTTCAATAAAATTATGGACACACTGTTATTTTATATGATTTTCCTGTCAAAAGAAACTTTAAAAATTACACAAACTTTTTTCTTGTAGTCAAGATTTGACTCAATCTGTAGCTTGCTTGAGCCCTGACCTAAAAAATACGATAGGGAGTGGTGGTTTTCATTTTTGTTTAGTTTTGCTTGCTTGATATTTGTATAAGTTAAAGGGTAGGGAAATAACCACAGGTAGGTTCTAGTTAAGGTTTGATGGAAAACCTGGGCAACTTTCAACAATTAGAAAATGAGTAGGGATTTCCAGGAACCTGCACTTAACATCTAGGACAGCTTTTAATGCGCTTATGAATCAACTGAGGACTGTTTTGAATTGAAGATTCTTAATTCTAAGATAGGATCATTTGCATTTCTTAAATTCAAGTTGACCGTGTTTAAAAAAATCCAGGCTATAGGTGATTTTTAATCAAGAATACTGCCTACCTGGATAGTATTTGTTGGAAATGCTCTACCTGGGGAAATGGAATATACATCGCCATGAATTTCATGAGCCTTAACTCCAGCTTCTTGGGTAAGGGGCTAAGTTAGGCATTCATTGCAGGTAGAAATACAGGTAGATGGATGTTTGTCATAAAGTACTGAAACAAGCATAAAGCATGTGTTTCTGCAGATTGGAGTGTTTGGTCTTTTCTAGTGATTATCTTTTCATTCTAAGCAGTTGTATTTATGGGTTTCAGCATTTCAAACACTGCATGTCAGTATATCCTTTGATTCTTCGCCACCTGCTGTGTGCACTAGAGCAGGGATCCCCAGCCCCTGGGCCCACAGCAGGAGGTGAGCAAAGCTTCATTTGTATTTGCTGCCACTCCCCAGTGCTAGCATTACTGCCTCAGCTCTCCCTCAGATCATCAGGCATTAGATTCTCATGAGAGCACCAGTCCCTGGTGCCAAAAAGGTTGGAGACCACTGGACTAGAGAATAAAATTATCAACTTTGCCTTTTTTCCCCCCTTAGTTACCAGATGTCTGCTATTCATGGTGGGTGTTGGCTTCCCTAAAGATAATTGGAAGGCTTCATTGGATTGATAGAGAGAAACTACGTAATTTCATCTTAGCGTGTCAAGATGAAGAAACAGGAGGATTTGCAGACAGGCCAGGAGATATGGCAAGTATTTCTGACATTCATATAATAGTTTCAGTGTTGCTTTGCATTACTTCTATGGTTCAAAGCTATTCCAGACATAGAAATGGATGGTATTTCCAAGTGTTGCTTTGAAATAGGATGCTTTTTTGAGTAATCACTGTTGCCAAAAAGTTAAGTGTATGGTAGAGATCCTGTGTTTAAAAACCATAATTTGAAGCCATTTTTATTCAGAAAACTTGAAACATACATTCAAGTAAAGGAGATAATGGGCTCCAATATAATTATTCAGAAGCAGGGATTTAGAAGTTTTGGTTTTGTAACAGCAAATTCTTATTTTCTTAATAGGTTGATCCTTTTCATACTTTATTTGGAATTGCTGGATTGTCACTTTTGGGAGAAGAACAGATTAAACCCGTTAGTCCTGTTTTTTGCATGCCTGAGGAAGTACTTCGGAGAGTGAATGTTCAGCCTGAACTAGTGAGCTAGGTTCACTGATGCATAAGTTGCTCAATATAGTTTTGCCATCTTAACATTTCTGTATTTGAAGTGCTTACCAAACAATATGTTAATATTTTGTATATGTATTGATTTTTAATAAATTGTATAATTATACATATTGTAAAATAAAGGCCTAGTGTGTCTTCAGCTTTTCTGAGTACAATATTTGGTTTATACTTTAATGTATTTATATTCTTTGTAGCAGTAATCTTTAAGAACTATTTAGTTGAAGTCAAGTGTTATACTTGATTTTATCCTGTGCTTCCTTCATATTTTTATGTATGATAGTTCATGTAAATTGGTCTGTGTCAGTGATAATGTTAACTGATAAAAAAAATTGATAAGCCTCATTCTAAATATGAATTAAAAGATTTACAAAAACAAATGGCTGTTGAAATTTGGGAGTATTTCATAGGTTTATGGTTAACTCTGAGTTGGTCACAGTGATTTAGGTAAATGACAGTTCGTCTTAGAATATGATTACAATCGGGACTACACTTTATTCTCATTTTTAACATGTCAAAATGCCAGCTTCTTAAGCGATGGTTGGTCTTTTCCCCTTAATAAGGAGACAAGTAATAGTTGCCACAATATTTTGTGTACCCGTGTTTTCAGAAAGACTAAAATGAGCACAACTATTCTCTAAAAGTTTTTACATTCTTGGTGAAATAAAGTATTTTAATGAACATTTTTTGCGAGGTGAAAGTTGAAATTTTTCTCAAGTGTGTTTGCAATAACCTGTGTCATTTTAAGAGTAGTGTTACACAAGTAATGGTTCACTCAACATTGTTGACCAATAATACATGGTTAAACACCTTGAACGTAGGTGCTTGCATGAAATTCACTAGAGTTTTGACTAAATTGCAGTTTATGAGTTTGGAAGTCTTTGGATGAAACTTAAAATGGTGTCAGAAGTATTTGAAGTTTTGCAAAATGCAGTCATTGCTTGTGGGTGAACTATGTTGTTAAATACCTGCTTTATTGTGATAAATGCATAAATTCAATAATGTTTTAAATGAATGTCTTCTAATAGTGTCCAGAGTGCTTTATTCTGTTTCTAAATCCTATCTATGAAGTTAGTGCTAATTGCATATTTAAGAAGAGTAAACAGGTAAATATTTCCCAAAGGTCATTTGTTGTGAAGCTAGAGTTTGAATTTGTGTAGTTTGCTCCTAAGTACCTATGTGAAACCACAGTCCAAGACAGTGAGAGACTGGAAACTTGTTAAAGCTGTCCCCCCGCAAAACCCATTCTTTCCCTTGTTCCACTATGTATACAGCCAACCTTATCTTTACTGGCTGAAAGGCAATTCTGCAGTAATGAAAGCCTCGTGGGTGTTTCTGCTGTAAGAGTTAATGGCATATTTAGCCTCACGACCAAAGTTTGAAGAGTTGTAGAGAAGTGTGTTAAATTTGTTTCTGCTCATAAGCTCTAGGTGCACAGTGATAGACAAGTTTCTATGTTTAAAAAGAAGCTAGTGTATTTGGGGCTGTGTGGGGAATGATATGCACCAGTCGCCTTGGGGTAAGGGAAAACGTTATACGAAAAATGGGGCTACCAAATTGGATGGTCATTGATTGGCCATGAGGAGTTCCGTTCGGATGGTAGCCGCAGGTTGAGGAGGGCCGAACCTCATTAATCTCATAACCAAATCATGTGGGAGGTATTGGCATTGAGAACTAAGTGTGGACGGGGAAGGATGTGCTGGTGCGGCAAGTTGGGTCCATGTGCGCCTGCGCGCTGCAGCTCTGCGCCTGCGCACTGCAGCTCCGTGCGTCACGTCCTGCCTCTTTTTCCCCTGCGTCTAGTCTGTCCCTGGGGTCCGTGAGGGTGCTCTCAGAAATTTCATTCCTGTGTCTGAAGAGACTGCGAAGATGCTGAGGCCTGAGATAGCTGCACCTTCAGTTCCCGGGGGTGCCCCCTCATCGGTAGAGGCTCGGTCACAAGGTCCCCGCTACAATATCGGACTCAAGGAGACTCCTCAGAGCCACCCTTCAGCTAAGGCCTCAGCCTTCACTCCTACGGGCACGTCTGGAGCCGCCGGCGACCGGAGCAGCAGCAGCAGCAGCAGCCTCCCATGCCATATGCCAAGCTCCCAGCCAGCTCAAGGCAAGGACTTGTGAGAATTTTTCATGGGGTAGGGTCCTGCAGCTTGTGCAAGTTCAGGTAGTGTTGGTTGGTTAGCACAGAGAACTTTCAGTTGGAGTTTGTTTGGAGGACGAGAACGGAGTGCTCTGGGAATTCCATGGCCAGAGTTATTAAAAGACTGGACTATCGAAATGGGTTTTATTACAAAGCTACGATGGAGGATGGCTCAGTTTTGAGGAAGGCTGAACTGCCTGGTATGATGTCCTTTCTTACCCTAACCGCCCCCATCCCCTCCACCCCTCCACCCCCCAAAATACAGTTGACTCTTGAACAATGGGGTGGGGGGTGTTAGGGTCACCAACCCTACCCAATGGAAAATCCCTGTATAACTTTTGACTTTCCCAAAACTTAATAGCCTTACCGATAAGAGAGTCTATTAACACGTGGTTTGTATAATACATGCATTATATACTGTATTACAATCAAGCTAGAGAAAAGGAAATGTCATTAAGAAGGAAGTCATCATAAGGAAGAGAAAATACAGTCTATGGCCATGCTACCCTGAACAAGCTGGATCCCTTGTGATCTCGGAAGCTAAGCAGAGTCAGGCCTGGTTAGTACTTGAATGAGAGACCACCTAGGAAGACCAGGTGCTGTAGGCGTAAAAAATAAAAAAATAAGGGCTTGTAAGCTGACAAGGTCCTTGCAATCTGTGAGGTCAACCAAGGGTTGCCTCGCCTAAAAAAAATAAAAATAAAGAGAAAATACATTTATAGTATTTGGAAAAAATCTGCATGTAAGTGGATCCTCATTGTCCATTTTCAAGGGTCAACTGCGTATGACAGATGACGGAATTTGTCTACAAGTTTGGTGATGAGTGGTGACCCTCTTGGCTGCTAGACTTAAGTCTTCAAGCCTTCTAGGATGTGATGAAAATAGATTAAATTTAACATTTTATTCGAGTTAATAGCATGTTTAATATTTAAAAACGTATGCCCTTCAAAATTTGTTCGACTCGTTTATTCTCACTCCACTTGTGAGAAAACCAATGCCATTTTTTTCACATGCTGTTGCAATTTAATGGTAGGGTAACATGTTATATACAATGGTCATCTCATGTGACCTTTCCGCTGTATTTAATATTCTTGACCAGTCTTATCTTGAATTCTCTTAATATGGTTTCTTTGATTTCACTCTTCCAATTTTCTCCTACCTTCCAGAGAACTGCTGTGCTCACCTTGTTAATTTTCAAATCATTGCTTTGTCCCTAGAGTTTTTTTTCTAGGCCACTTCAACCTGGATGTGATAATCACCACAGCTCCGATTCATCTATGGTCTAGATTCCTATTTCAGACTGTCTTGTGAAGTTTCTAGTGAGAGACCAATGGATACCTGAGACTCACTATATGATTAATTTAATTCATCTCGCTGCAGCTCTTCAACCTGTTTCTCATACTTATCTCAATCATTGGGCTGCCTAAATCTTAAACTTAGAAGACTTCAACAGTTCAAGTATTCCCTCACTCTCAACATCTAAATATAGTCTTATGTATCTTTACTTTTTAAATAATTCTGTCCCTTTCTATCTCTGTGCCATTACAGGCCCTCATTTTTTCTGAATTATTGTCTCAAACTCCTAAATATTCCTTCCAAGCTTAGTGTTACCAGAGTCATAGGGAAAATGAAAATCTTATATCCCTTACCACTTATATCAGTGGGTTTGTATTTGCAGGTAAAAGAACTCTAGCAGGCTATTCAAGGCTATTTGGGATCTGTTTCCAATTTTTATGCCCTTATTTCCATCACTTCTTAATATCTATCCTACTTTCTAATGTAACTGGGCTACTTCGAGTTTTCCAAGGCAAAATATATGTTCACATTGTCAATATAATCCCCTTCACGAAATCCTTTTTCACCCGCTATTTTCAGCAGTAATAAGAACATCCGCTAATTAAGGAGCACCTATTCTGTTCTGGCTTCTTACTAGTCATGTGGTATCTCTGATCCCCACAGTAATTCTGCAAATTAATTTTTTTGTTCCCATTTTACGGAGGAATAGTGAAATAGTTATTTTAAGAGCTAAGGATGATAATCTGTGCTCTCAAGGAACTTATTGTTCAGTTGGGAAGATAGACTTAAACATCAATAAATACACTTTTAAAAGATAACTATATTTGAGCTATTGGCAGATTTTTGAGGTCTTTACTACTAAATTAGGGATACAAAAATGAGAAAATATACAGAGGAAATGCAATTTGAGCTAGTATTGAAGCATAAATAGGACAGAATGTCAGCTAAAGGGAAGGAAAAGAAGAGAAACTGAACATTCTTTAAAGTAAACCACATATAAAGGCACAGAAGTGTGACATGTCATGCTGGTAGAACTGCAAATAATTTTGTTTGGTTAGAGCAGGAGGGTCTTCTGATAACAGATAAACTTGAATTACTTGTAGGAATTTGGTCTGGGAGGCAAGTAGCTTTTGTCTGCCATGCCAACAACTGAGTCTCTGGCTTTGGTGACTGGAGAAATGGTAGTACTGCTTCCTGAAAAAAAAGGAATTTTGTTGGAGAAGCAACTTTTAGAGAGAAAATTGAGTTCTGTATGGACATGTTGAATGTGAAGCATCTCTGGGACATCTGTATTAAGGCAATTGAATATATGGATCTAGGATTAAGAAAAGAAACTTAGGAGAGATACAGATTTGAAAATTACTGGTATATTTGAGACCAGAGGGGAGAAGATTAAGAAGGTACAAGCAAAATAGGGGACAAGGAAATTGGAGAACCAAGACAAGGAAGTTTCAAGAATGGACTTGGGATACAAAAGTGACTTGAGAATAAGACACAGCCTTTTCTGTTTCTAGTTTCTGATAACCACTCCTTTCCTTAGCTCCTTTAAGCCTAGGAATGGTAATGGAGCATACTTTGTCCTGGTTCTAGACACTTCCTTTTGGTGATATCCTTATATCCTGTCCATACTTTTGTAAATATTCCCTTTATCAAGCTCACCTCAAATTATTCTAGTGACAGTATGGATTGACCTAGGTATTATGCTAAGTGAAATAAGTCAGGCAGAAAGACAAATACCATATGATCTCACTTACGTGGAATCTAAAGAACAAAATAAATGAACAAACAAATAGACTCATAGATACAGAGAACATTTTGTTATAAATGGGAGGAGACGTGGGGAGCTGGGTGAAAAAGGTGAAAGGATTAAGAAGTATAAATTGGTAGTTATGAAATAGTCATGGGCATGTAAAGTACAGCAGAGGGAATATAGCTGATAATATTGTAGTAACTATAGTGCCAGGTGGATACTAGATGAATCTGGGGGATCACCTTGTAAATTATACAGATGTCTAACCACTATGCTGTACACTTGAAACTAATATATTATTGAATGTCAACTGTAATTAAAAAATAAAAATAATAATAAAGTGAGATTTGGTGTGAAAGGTGTTTTAAAGAAACTTGATGTTATTAAAACAGTAATTTTCTATGTTGTATAAAACGAGGAATGAGCAGCCATTTCAACCACCACTTACTGAAATAATTCAAGAAATACTTATATTCCAAAGGTCTCGTTTTGCACTAAGTAGAATATTAACAGGCCCTAGCCTCTTTACAGCACCACTTCTTTCTTCTCAGAACCAGTCACAGTTCTAAAATCTACACATTTCTTCAGCCTCACCAAGATCCATCCCCCATTGATTTACTACCTTTTTAACTGCCTGTTACCACTGCCTGCCTGTGCTCACTTCCCTCGTTAGGAAGCCTAAATTTCATGGTCCATCATCATAATTGCATTTTTCCATATACCTTTGAATCCCTTGTGCCTCTTTTCCTATATCATTCCCACCTAGGAGAACCCAACACTGGTTAAATCCCACCCCTCTGCTAATGTGCATCTGTATCCACATGGCTGAGCAAGGCTAGAGAAAACCTCATAATGTTGATAACTGGTGTTATTTTAAGTCCGTGACCACTAACCTCAGGTGGGCCAGTGGAGTTTTCTTGCAGTCCTACCATATTTCCTTAGTTCTCCTTCCTGAAATTCCTTGAGTTGAGATCATCACATTGCCAAATCAATTGATATGTTCTCATGTCTCATCTTAATTGACTTAGTTGACTTAATTAGCAGTTTATCACTCTTTCTTCCTTGAAATACTTTTCTTCGCTTGCCTTCCAGGCCTCTTCTCTATGTTGGTTCTCTCCCTACCACACTAGCTATTCCTTCTCTGATACCTGCTCTTGTTATCTTAACATTGAAGTGCCTCAGTGCTCAGTTCTAGGATGTCTTCTCTCCTCTTTATCTATATCCGCTCCCTTGGTTATTTCTTTCATCTCGTTTTGTAGGTTTATATACATACTAGTAATGGCAGAGATGGTTCTCGGGAAAAAAAAAAAAATCTAAGATCTCATTTGAATATATCATCTGATTCTTTCTGGGACCCATGTAAAGGAGTTAGATTTTATCATATGGTGGGTATGGGGAGACACTGAGGTGTTGTAAGAAAGGGAGACAGTGAAATTTCTTTTTCAGAAAGATCACTGGTTATATGAATACTGTATTAGACATGATACTGGAGGCAAAGAGAACAATGTCGAGACTTTTGCAAAAGATCTGAGAAGATATAGGTTTAAATGGGCTAATAGGAATGGAGGTAGAGAGAAACTTTAGTAATATTTAAGAAAAAAGAATTCCAAGACTTGATCACAAATTGGTTGTTAGGATTGTTGAAAGAGGAGTTAAGAATGACTCCTAAGTTTATGACTTGAGTGAAAGGGTACAAGATAGTACAGTTGACTACAATTGGTAATAAATAAATTTTGAGGGAAAGATAATGAGTTCACTTTTGGACATTAAAAAATTTATGGACGATATCTAAAGGTTTACTTCTAAAAGGTAGTTAGATATGGGGACCTAGAGCTACACTGATAGAACTTTCTGTGATAGAAATATTCCATACCTATGCTGTCTAATATGGTAGCTACTAGCCAAATGTGGCTTTTGAGCATTTGAAATGTGGCTAGTGTGACTAAGGAACTGATTTTTTAATTTTATTTCTGATTTAATGTAAATAGGCACATGTGGCTTGTAGCTACTATATTGAATAATGCAGGTATAGACCTAAGATAAGGATTTTTTTTTTTTTTTGCTTTTTTAAAGGGCTGAAAAAGTAAAAGAGGAATATTTTGTGACATGTGAAAATTACATGAAATTCAGATTTCAGTATCTATAAAGTTTTATTGAAATAGAGCCATGCTCGTTGATTTATGTATGGTCTATGGCTGCTTTCCCGTTAAAGTGTCAGAGTTGAGTAATTGTGACAAACCCTATATCCCACAAAGCCTAAAATATTTACCATCTGGCCCTTTATTAAAAAGTTCGCCAACCTGTGGTTTACAGTGCAAGAGAGGAGTTAGGACTGTATATGAAGGCTTGAGAATTGCCAGGAAATAAAAACTAATAGGAACCAAGATAGTAGACAAAATGCCTATAAAAATGTATAATGTTGATTTGTAAGCAATGGTGAAAAAGTATGGAACCCTGGGAAGCCAATAGTTAAGAGACAAACAGAAGAAAAAATATCTGGCAAAAGAAACTAAAAGCCAGTGGTTTGAAAATCAAAATAGAAAGTTGCATGGAAAGCAAGGGGAATCAGAGAAAAGAGCCCCATTATTTTTTTAAAGAACTTGTATGTGCCAAGATGCTATGCTAAGCTGTTTTTGTACATTCTTTCAAGTTTTATGACAACCTGTTAAAATAGGTAATATATCAATAGGTAAGTACATAAATAAGGAACTGAATTCAGGTGAGTTTAAAACTATTTGTACCATTTACTTGAGGAGAGAATTTCAATGAAGTCAATAAAGGAAAAGTGGGCTTATAATTACAAAGTAATTGTATCTGGTATATTTTAAGATTAGGAGGTCTTAGTGAATTTGTAAAAGCAAAAGCCATATTAGCAAGCACTTTTCCTTATATTTTAGTACAAGATTATCAATAATGTAATTTGTCATAATTTGTTATATTTAAAAATCAGCAGATGAAATTTTATAGCAAATGAAGATGGTATAAATTGTAGAGATTAATATGTTGTTATATAATTCTTAATTTTAATAACTGATATTTAATTTTTCTAATTTAGGTTCATGCTTTAGCAACAACAGATCTTATGCAGAAAAAACATTTGCATCAAAATTTACTTTTAGTACAAGCTCATCTTCTGCACGAGGTACTAATTATCTTCAGACACTAAAAACTCCATTGTCTGCTGGAAATCCCCAGAGATCAGGTTATAAAAGTTGGACACCACAAATGGGATATTCAGGTAAAATGAGTAGAATATTGACGTAGATGACTTTTTGAAACTTTAAATGTTTTGTAAATTCTAAATTAGAGTGGTTAGGTTCATTTGAAGTGATTTGTAACTGATATGAATGACTGAAAGATAAATACATTAATTTATCTATATCCATAATTTGAGACATGGTTAATAAGGCTTCATAGTTTCTGATAGTTTGTTAATAAATGCAGGTCTATATTATCTTAACCATTCTGTCAAAAAAGCTCAAAAAGTTGTCTCCCTTTATATGTGATGTTTATTTAAATCTAGAAGCTTATCCTGATAATACTATTGAGTGGTTTTTTAAAAAATACTTAAATTTTGCTTTTATCTAAATCTACTAGTTTTTCTCAAAGGAAAAATGAATGAAATAAGTCTTCATGGGTAAGCATTATCCAAAGTACATCTAGTTGAATTTCTTGGTTATAGGGTATGTCAGTGTATTTACAAGATAATGATAAATTGTTTTTCTGAGTGGGTCTGTCAGCTACATTCTTACTAGCAATGTATGAGATATTTTGTTGATATACATAAGGTTTACAACATTATGATTAAACATTTATATAAGTTACAAAGTGATCACCCTGATAAATTTAGTACCCATTTGATATCATTCATAGTTATTACAAAATTATTGACCACATTCTTTGTTATACTTTACATTCCTATGACTATTTTGTAACTATCAATTTGTACCTCTTAATCTTTTCCCCTTTTTCACTCACCACCCTGCTCCCTCAACTCTCATCCCATCTGGAACCATCAAAATGTTTTCTGTATTTATAAGTTTGTTTCTGTTTTATTTATTTTGTTCTTTAGATTCCACATATAAGTGAAATCATATGGTATTTTTCTTTCTCTGTCTGACTCACTTCACTCAGCACAATACCTTCTAGGTCCATCCATGTTGCAGAAGGCAAGATTTCATTCTTTTTTTTTTATGGCTGAGTAATATTCCATTGTATACATGTACCACCTCTTCTGGCTGGCACATGGATATACAATGAAAGTAGACGCATATGGACAGGAGGCCTGTAGCACTCAGTCTACCTGTTGGGAAGGCAGTAGCATCAAGAGGACTATGGGAGACAAACTTGAGGAGAGGGTGAAGAAACAGGAAGAGTGGGCTACAGGAAGAGTGTAGTTGTCTGTATCAAGAGGGCTATAGGAAGGTTATTATATTACCATGCCAGGATTGTGAGATTGCCAAGGGATAGCACATTCTGGGTATGTGACTTGAGCATATGTTTTCATACCTACACGCTGGCCCACTGTGCTGCGGTGAAAACTGCAGGAGAGCACTTCATCCTACAGAGTCCCTCTAGTATCCTGTACTGAAAATGCTTAATATTATGCATACTTTAAAAGAGAAGTACTCATAGGAATTCTGTTCATTATTGCAGAGCTTATATTGAAGGCTGAATTGGGAGCTGAGTGATAATAAATTGATAACTGGCATATCTCTTTTGACCACTTGACTTCCATGTGTATCCTACTACACACATTTGGACTCCTTTAGAACAGAATGACTCTGTATCTCTACCTAATAAGATACATCTATTCTTAACAAGTGAGAACGTTCTCACTTCCCCCAAATGAGAAGACTCATGGTACCAACAGCCATTGTGTATTAATTATCCCAAATTCGGTCATGGTCCCACTGAATATTCAGTTACCTAAACACTAAATTGTAAAGTTAACCTGTAGTAACTTGTGTACCAAATTTTTTAAAATTGAAGAGAAGAAAATGATTATACAAATTAGCACATGCATGTAACAAAGTATAGAGAATACATTCATAACTACTAAAGTTCTTGTTTCTGTAATCGTTCATGAGTTGTAGTTGATATCTATGGCTTCTTTCTTATACTGCTCGTTTCATAATTCCCTTACCTCCAGCAATAAGGGTGGAATGATCTAAAAACATTCATTCCTGAAAGGTCTGAATCTTTAGTCATCCTAACTTTTTTTGGTTGCTGCAGTTTTCCATTAATCTTTGTTATTGGAAATACTAAGTTGTGCCTCAGAGAATCTCCTGGGTTCCATACATAGTCCACTTTGCCTCCATTGTATATAGCAATGTGATTTCCCCTTGGTAATCAGAGTCAACCGCCACCCTCCTTTTTTTTTAACCTGTTGGTTTGGTAGCATAAATAAAGAGCTCAAAATGGCCAGGTGGTAGTTTTGTCTTCCATATTAGTAGAACCATTGTTGTATCACCTGGTGGAACCAATAACCTTGTGGAGACTATCATCTCCAGCAGAGCTCAAAGTTGCCAAGATGCGAAACAAAAATTCTTCAGGTGGGTTAGTATGTATGCTAGTGAGACTAGCCACTCCCACTTCCACCCATTGATTCCTGGACCTGTGTATTCTCGCTATGAGGAATACGGCATCATATAATGGTCTCTGATTCAAAATATACACTGCATTCTCTAAGGCAGAACCCATTCTTTCAGGATGTTGTTTCCCAGTTGGTACTGTAACTGAGTCTTCAATAAGCCATTCTGCCTTTCTGTTAAGCCAGACAATTCTGGATGATGGTGTATACAGTAAGACCAGTTGATTTAATGGGCATGAGCCCATTGATGTATTTCCTTTGCTGTGAAATGAGTTCTTTGATCAGAGACAGTACTATGTGGAGTGTCATGATGGTGGATAAGTCATTCTGTGAGTTCACAGAATGTGATGATGGCGGAAGCATTGTGGGCAAAGAAGGCAAATCCATATTTAGAATATTGTTTGTTCCAATGAGGGCAAATATCTTCTCCCTCCATGACGGAAGAAATCCAGTGTAATGAACCTAAGGTGGTGGGCTGTCTCCCTGGGGAGTATTGTTTTTGGGGTATTTAATGTTGATCTCTGCTATTGGCAGATTAGGCACTAAGCTGTGTGGTTAACCAGATCATCTTTGGTAAGAGGAAGTTTATATTTTTGAGCCCTTGCATAGGCTCCATCCTTGTAACCATGGCCACTTTGTTCATGGGTCTTTTGTGGAAGCAATGGGATGGCTAGGAAAAGAGGCTACTTGACAGAGCATATCATTTTGTCCACATGATTATTAAGCGTCTCCTCTACAGTGAATGTCCTTTGATGGGTATTCACATGAAATACAAACATTTTAAAAGTTTATGCCCATTCTAAGAGAGTCACCATCTTCCAATTCTGTTCTTTTCAAGTCCCTGACCATCCAGCTAGACCATTAAAAACTGTTTATGAATGAGTCTAAATCTGTACTTCTGATCATCACTCATTTCATACATGTGGACGACAAATGTACTGCTCAGAATTCTGCCCAGGTTGAGCAAAACAACTCAAAAAATTAGAAGAGGGGAGGAAAAAAAATGGCATAGATGATAGAAGCTCTGTTCATCCCTCTGCAACGGCAAAAGGTAGAACAACGGGGCAAGGACGCGGGGCTGCCAGGTCTTGAGCCGCTGAGTGACACAAAGGCTGCAGCAGAGGCAGTTGCCTCTTAAAGGGGCTACGTCTGCGAGTGGATTTTCACAGTGACAGACCTGCTCGCTCTGAGCACCAGTGCCGATTCGGCTGTGCAGGGGTCACCAGGGACTTACAAGGAGACATTTTCCGAGTGAGGGCTGAGGTGAGACTCGCTCTGTACAGAAGTGCTGACAGTATCCATTGTTCCCTTTTGAGCCCTCCCTCCTCCCAATGCGTAGACACAGCGCTGCCATAGCCGTGATGTCATCAAACTGGATAACAGAGGTCGCTCCGCCCAAAGGATTCCCTGAAACCTCACCTCCCCCAACTCGCCATCCCACCCAGGTTTAGCCTCATCCAGGTATAGCCTCAGCCAGTCAGATGTTCCTTGCTGAGCAGCATCTAGACTCACACTGGAGCCAGGTGGCCTTGGTTTCTGGTGTGACTTTTTGAGGCAGCTCTAAGCATGACATCTGTGGATCGCTTGCTGAATTTTAATAGGTGGCCCTGGAGGGGCAGAGTCTTGGGCTAAGTTTGGCCTGCAGCTGAACCCCTCTCAGGACTGTGCCACTAGACCCCTACTTCACAAATCCATACTAATAAGACCGGGAGACTTAGGAGCTTTGCTTTGTACATAGAAACAGACATGGAAGGGCAGCCAAAATGGGAAGACAAAGAAGCAGAAACCATACGACAGAACAGAACAGAGATCCAGATAGAATGGAGTCAAGAAATCTAACAGATGCAGAGTTCAAAACACTGGTTCTAAAGAAGA